AAATGGAACGGTGCACCACGCGATACATTCGTTTTCTCGGTCTGAATAGAAAAAAAAGGCTTAACGGACAAATCTGATGTCTTATGTCGTATATTACAGATAGATTATTATAATTCGTGGCGTTCTATTCTAGCTTCAATTTCCATTTCTAAAAGTTATTAGTTAATTTTGCCAATCTTCTTCATTGATGGCAGTTTTGCGTAAATATTGCAGATAATAGTAATTCATCATAGCAAATATTATCATAATAGAGCTTCGAAATAGAACAAAACGAACAGAGAAAATAAATCACAGAACAGTTTGTTCAATCAAAAGTTCATTCTCACTAAGTGTTTTTTTTTGAACGTTTTTTTTATCTTTTTATAGGCTTGTCTTCGAGATTTAGGTAATGGTTGTGCTAATGGTCGTTGACGTTCTTTAAATTTACGTTTTCGTCGTACAGGTTGAGTTTGCATTTCGGTTGGTGCATCAACAAAACCGAGCAAAAGTACAGCATCAGAGAACAATTCTGATTGTTGTTTTGGTTTTTTTCTTTTTCGGTTTGTGAGATATGTATGAATATCACTCACAACTGCTAATGCAGCAATACTTGATATTAATAGAATAGCTACAATACCAAATGATTTAGTTGTCAGTTTAATGACGGTCATTTGAAAATTTGAATCTTGACAACTTAATCCATCATAACCTGTATAACATATGCAACGATATGAATTAATTAAATCTTCACACATACCATGATCAGAACAAGTGATAAATTCGCAATTATCGATGTTTATCTCACAATGAACACCCTCGAAGCCTAATGGACAATTACAAGTGGTGTTTCCCTCGGTAGATTGAATACTTTCACCACCGTTCAAACAATAACCGAATGGATATTGCATTAATTCACAATGTTCACCAGACGTTAACGTTGGACATTCACACCTATAGCCAACATAAGCTGACTGACTCATTGAATTGTCACCAAACGATGAATTCTCATTAGGAATTAACGATGTGCATATTCCGTTATTCAAACACGGATTTTCTCGAAGACATACATCGAAAAATAATACCATCGGTTGATCACGATCACATGATTGTTTCAACATATGAACACGAGCAAATACGGGACCGATTGACATTGGTGTTCGATCACCATAGCGAATAGAACCTAGAAATATAAAAAAGGTTTGATCATTTCATGTTTTACTGTTTACTAAAGGCAAAAACACAGGTCTAATTAAAGTCTTGAATTGAAAGTCTATTTGTTAGAATTATATGAGACTGGAATACTACTCTCAAATCGCTACTTGTTCTCATTTTTAGATATTATACTTTGATCCGAAATACTATGTCGAAAATTTTAAAGCAATATACAAACCATTTTTGGTTAAATTCAAATTAATCTGCAGTCCATTTTCATTTGTACAGAAGTCGCCCGATAAAAATAGTTCAGCTGTGGATGAATCGACCTGACGTACTTTCACATTCATATTTCCACTGTCAATGTCATTTGACTTTGTTAAATTTAGAAAAAATTTATCACTTTTAACATGGCCAATAATGACACTTGTATTACGAACTAAACTAGTCGAATCCATTGAAAGTGCAAATTGTTTCGTTTGTATTCGTTGAAGATCGAGATTTGCATTTGATCCGATAATATTTGTTTCAAAATGATTTGCTTCAATATCTGCAAACGTTAAATTCATCGGTAGAGTATGAGTATCGTTGGCAGCTATTTCGGGTAAGTTAATTAACAAATGAAAACTTAAATTTGATTTTGTTGATATTGTCAAAGACGGTGATTTTATATCGCGAAGATCGAGTTGAACAATTTTTTCATCGTCATCGTTATTGGTTAGTTTACTATTGGAATTTAACAACGAACTTAATAGTTCCGAAGTAAAATTGATTTGTGATTGATTAGGCGGGGGAACAAGGAAAATGATGTGTTTATCTTTACTGGAATCGTATTCAGAATGCCATTTCAAGGTTAAAATATCAGTTGAAGATGGTATAGAGGTGATTTGATAATCTAAATAAAATAAGATAAATAGCAATGTACTTTAATAATCGAGTTTATCATCCAATCTTCCACAAGATTTACTGATTAAAAACTTTTTTGTATACGTACATAAATATGTTCTCATTACTGTTGATATGTTATTCTCGTTGTTACCGCGAATCGAAGTATGGTGCTGTGAAGGAGTAGTTAATATCATAGCTATTGTTCGAGTTCGATTACGCATTCTTTGATTTCGTGCCCGAGAAGGTCGCATCACATCCGTTGTTGTATATGCAGATGATAGGAGTTGAATAAGACGCGATGTACCTACAGTAACGTATGTAACATTTTCGACCAACGAAGATAGTTTAGTTGTCGACTTCAAACTAGTCTGTTTAACTTGAGACGAAATTTTTAATGGAGAAACCATCGTTGTATAAAGTGTCGAAAGTCTTTTCGATTTGACTGTCGACAAAAGATTTGTGGACTTTTTTGATGAATATCGTTCTAGTCGTTTTTTAAAAGTTGATTTTTTTGTGGGAAAAGAGGTCTCGTATATTACTGAACTTAATGTAGACGGTTTGACGCTATTAATTACGAGTAAGGATGTTAATGTGGTTTCTCTCGTGTGATCAAAATAATATGTTGAAGGCGATGACCATATTGTGCCTTTCTTAACAGATGATTTACTTGGATGTAAAGGACTTGATGATACTTTTGGTTTGATGCTGTTTTTATGGATCGTAGTTAACTTTTCGGTGGTTAGTAAATTTTTTGTTATTTTATCAGTATGAATTGAAGTAGAAAATTGACTATAATCCTTAGTTGAATGATCTATTTTAGGAGGATATGTATTGAATGAAAACTGTCCTACCTCTGTAGTATTCAATGTGTTAGCATGAGAGCTATAAAAAAGTGTGGTCTGCTCCATGGTAGACGTGAACACGATATTAGCAAGTGTGCTGGTAGTAGATATAAAGTTACTCGAAGACGATGTGGTTAGTGGTATTTGTATTGATGATTGAAATTCCAGTTGTGTTTCCGATGACAAAATTTGAGTAGTTAAGGTAGAACTAGGAAAGTTAGTTGAATATTTTGACGTGGTTTTGATAGTTGTCGTAGTCGGATCATTGGTAGATAGGGAGATATCGTTTGTTCCTGTAGAAGTAGCCAAATGTAATGATGAACTAGTGTAATGCATTGGAAGAAGCGATGGTGTTGTACTAGTAGCCAAATGTAATGACGAACTAGTGTAATGCATCGGAAGAAGCGATGGTGTTGTACTAGTTGAAGTTTGTAATGTTGTTGGTATATATAGCGTTGATAGCGAGTATTTTAACCATGGTGTTATTGGATGCTGTGATGTTTCTAAATGAGAATGGTCTAGTTTTGATATCGTGGCAATAAAGCGTTCTGAAACCGAACATGTTATACAAGTACTTTTAGATGATGTATGGTGCATTAACAGTGTAATTGAAGAATAACATTCGTGTAAGCGTGTCAATGGTGATTGCGTGTGACGGTTAGAGTGAAGTGATATTGTGCTAGCGTGTGAGGGGGTAGAAGAATGAAACAAGTTAAAAGAAACCCTGGTTAAAGATAATGCAGTCATTTGTTCACTGATAGACATCATATCTGTCTCCGTCAACAAGATTTTATTCAACGATACCTTCCATTCAAATAAATGTTGAGTAGTAGTAGTTTTGTCATCTAAAAGATGTGAGGCTTGAAATTCTGCTTCTGTCGTTTCTTTTAGTACTGAGATGGATAGTGTGTTTTCCACAGAAGAATCATCAGTTGAGTTTGATATATTTTCTCCAATTAATAACCATGAGTCATTTACACGTTGATCCATATCAGTAATGGTAGAATTTTTGGTGACTGGAAAGATCAGTTGTGTCGTGTATGATGTACTTGTATAGTCATATATTATTGTATCATTTTCAATGTTAGAAAAACCTGTATCGCGCATTTGATTCATATCTGTAGAATTTATCTCTACATTTAATTTGGTCGTGAAAGATTGATCTGTTATTATTAGTTCAGGCTTGGTTCTATAATTATTATTCGACGTTTGAATATCATTGTCGAATATCATTGTTCTTAATGTTCTGAAAGTTGTAGTATCCATCGTCGATGATTCTCTATCATCTCGGTCTTCGCCGATTATTATTCTTGATTGTAGAGTTATACTATTCATTTCCATTAAAAATAATATAGATGTACTATCAGACGTTTTTAATGACGTTTTAAGAAATTGATTAGTTTCAAAATCTGATTTTATTGACGATGGTTGAAACGATGATGGATATGTGCTCCATTTCGTTAAAATAATATCATTTATAATCGTCGTCGTCGAAGAAGATATTCGTATGATGTCAGTATTCAATAACACATTTGGAGTAAATATCGTAATGGTTGAAAGAGAATAAAACGCAGAAGTAGTAATCGATTCTATTGGAACATCGTCGACTATGGATGATAAGCTGGTAACAGAAGCTGTGTCATATTCGAGGAATTCCGATGGTTGTACAGTGAAAAATGTTGAGGGAACTCGTAGTGCTGTAGGAGACATCGAAAATGTAAATATTCTAACGGTTTTTTCGTTTATTCTGTTGAAGAAAGACGATGTGATCGCAAAATGGGTTGTATTACAAACAGTAATCGCTGAAGTATTTTTTGATTGATAATTTGTTGAAGTGACGAGTTGAAATTTATGCTGTGGTTTCGTCTGCAACGATCTATTTTGTCTCATCATGACCGGAATTATCTTGGTACCAACATTGTCTAATAGGACTAACGGCCATAATACTGGAGAATCAAATCGAACAATTTGTTGTCTTGTGTCTAAAATACTTTCTGTTCTGACTCACAATTACTTTTTTTGTAGTAGAGTGTATATCTCAACGATTTTTTAGTGCAGGGGTATGTGACATAAAGATGAATGGGATCCGGTACAAATTAGTGTAGGACAAATGAGTGTAACAATATTCATACAGATAGAACTTACGTGAATGTCGAGTTGTATACTTTATTACGGGTTTGATTTCAGCTTCTACAATGTAAAGAATGCAATTACATATCAGGTTAAATCCAACTGTCCCATTATAATATGTCAAATTTTCTTAAAATATTGAAAAGAATTCGAATGTTTTGGAGAGTCAGATTCCTTCAGTATACTAATCTTGGTTACATTTTATATTCTAGGAGATTCTCTGAGATAAATACCGTGAAATTCTAATATATTAAACATCCAGACGGATCTTGTCCGTGTAAGTTTTTTTATTGTTGCATAGATAAAGGTTGTTGTGTTGAGACGTTCAATGGAAATTGGTAATTCCGATGATTTCGAAAAAACGCTTCTAATCGTAGTATATGTTTTGATGTTCATGACGAGGATCATTGATTTTGTTGCAATATACAAATGATTACATTCATCACCTATGAGGCCAAATGGGTACTTAATGGCATTACTTTTTACGATTTTTCCATATTTAATTCGAAACTCTTTTGTTACAAATAATTCATAGATAATATGATCATGCATATTGGCATAAAATATAGAGCCAGATGAAGATACAACAATGTTACCTTCATTCAACGTTTCATTCATAAACATTGGTTCTCGATGTAATAAACCTAAAGTGTAATAGACCCATAAGATAGTTCACGACTTGTTCGCCAAACGGTCAGTTTTTTCGTAAGTGCGCTACTTTTTGTCAGAATTACATCGTTTCAGAGACAATTTATTCCGAGCTGGTATGTGTCGCATTTTAAAGAGCTAACATTTGTCTTTCAATTTATGAGAGAACAAATGTTGACAGTTTCTCTCGTGCCTGTGTCTACGCCCTATTCTCACGATCCGGTCTCTAGTTTAACGACTTCACATCCGTAAATCTATTATCTATCGAATGTTACTTAACAATGAGGAAAATGTTTGCTTCTTAAACTCGTCGTCTCCGAATTTTACACAAGCTTTCGTTGCTACACTAAAGTAAATCTGAAGAAAACTTAGGACATGCCGGCAACCCGTTCAGTTCAACGGTGTGAATATACTTTAGATATTTTAGGCAAAAAATCTTTCATCTTACCAGAATTTGAATCGAATATGAAGTAAATAATTCCAATGTCGCTTGAAATAAACATGAGTGATTTCGCTTTTCCCTCTACGTATTGATGATCTTTTTTTATTGTGAAACCGGTGATTTTTATATCGCGCACTATATTAATTTTTAATGATTCAATACAGTAGACTTTAGTGAATATCAATTGAATGACATCGAAATTTACTTGACAAACGGATAATGTATACACAAGTTTTTTATGTTCTTGATAAATGAAAAATAATGCTGTCGTTAATGGGGATGTTGTAGTTGTTATTGTGGTAAATGAAACACATGAACCGGCTATAACAATTTCATTTGTTGATATATTAGCTAAAAGTAACATTGATTTTGAATTATAAACATGAACTATATAATTTGGTTCAACAAAAACAATAATATCGTTATCGGGTGAATAGGCTAGAAAATTATGTGGATAATCACGTTTAACATAGGTTATATTCGACGACATTTGAGATGTCTGATATTTTCCATAGGATAACATTGATTGCATCTAAAAATTAAGTGGCAAGGTTATCTTTGAAATTTCTCTAGATAGAACGATACTTCTTTTCGATATAAATTGATATTTTTACTCCCATGGGATGTAGTGATCATGTTTCTTACAGAGGATTATTTTTATTTGATAAAAGTTCTATGAATTTTGACGTCGTTTATTTTTTACAAGTTTTAACTTTTAAAAGAATTTATCCCACAATCTGATGGTTAAAATATTATGTAAAAATAAAATACCTTTGAACACATATTTTTAACAGAAGTATCGTTTGTTTTATCACCTAGAAGAAGGAGAAAAAAGTACAATTTAATAGTGTCAAATAAATGATTAGCTAAGTTTGGAGTACTTACCAATAGCACGATTTTGCAATAATATCATTATTATCAATAGCCATAATAACGAATTCAATTTCGTACAATAAACAACATCAATTTTCATTCCGATTTTCAAAATAATTCCATAACAATAATAACCATGTAAACGTTTTTAAATAACATTTTAGAATGTTGGACATTAAATATTTATTAACGGGGAAATATTTTAAATAAAAATTACTATCAGATGATTTACTCTCTGTGATAACTCTAATAATTAATGCATTTCATTGTTATTCCTACAATTGGTTTCATTCAACAAAAATAATCCTACGCCTATTTTTCGGAAAAAATCGTGCATGCTCTCGATTCACATCGATATAATGGTAATAGGAGATTTTTATTGTTAATAGACAAAAATTGTGAACTGAAAAAAATGGTCATTGTTTTGTTACTTTTGTGATTTTCCTTCTTCTCTAACAAGAAAAGTCGTAGAAGAAGAAATTTGTTATTAACGTCATATTTTCAACCGTAACAAGGTAAATGGAAGGCTTGTCAGGAAAAACTCTCTTGAGAGAAAGCATTTTTGTGTATATGAATAAAAACGAGATTAATCTATAGAAATCATAAGACGAGAGAAAAAAGAGGAAATTGATCGATGAATAAACAAGAAAATATAGAGTAAAAAATAGACAATGGAAAATGTTAAACAATAAAATGAATAGGTATCATATAAAATAACGTTTAACATTTATTTCCATAAATAAAAAAAGGTATAGCACGATTCAAATGTCATATATATAATCAATACAATGTTTAAATATCAACTAGGACAAATATTCCAGAAAAAATTTCGAATTAAATTAGTTTTTTAATAATATTGCTAAAATTTCTTAACAATGTTGAATGTAATACACTAGGTATTGTATTCAACGTTCTTTTTTCTAATTCAGTATACAAAACTATTTCTAATGGGAAACGACTCGAAAAATTGTTATTTTCACATGAGAATGATTATTTATTCTAAACTCAACATCTAAATGTTTTAAAATCTTCTGGTATACGCGTTATACATGGCTAATGTTATTGGTTGTAATCTTTTATACTTTATCTGCAAAATTTTCTCATAATTTAACGCATTAATTATGTTCATACGTTAAAAATAACAGGATTATCAAAAAGATAAACGTAATCGTTTCGTGTCTAATAGAAATTATTGGTGTAGGATTTTTCTACCTATACTATAGCGTGCATACCACCACTATTATAACCATACTATGAATTTCGTTCTCAATAAGTAATCCATTCAATAAACTTACCATTTATTGCCTGTTACTATTGATAAGTAGATGTACCATACAGATGTATCTCGATGTATACTAGATGAAAGATTGTAATTTAGTAAAAAAATTGTGCAAATCGCTAACGGTGTAAATTCATGCAAAGTGGTGTGCAACTTAAGTGTGCAACCAGCAAAATTTTTTGTGAGTGTATTATAGCAGAATAAACTAAGGGATTGAGTTATCAATAATTTGTTATATTTTGACAAAACTAGACATTTAGAAAAAGTACAAATGGGATTTTATTCATTGAAGAGTTTTTTTCTTTTTCATCAATATGTTTTCAAAAGATGCTCTAAAACGACTTGAAAAGTATTCGATCGTTCGAAAATAAGATTTCAGTTTATTTATTTAGTTCACCACTTCTGGCGATTATTCAACGATGTCAGTCAGATCTTAAATCAAAATATGAAAATGATTTTCAAACAAGTTTATTTATTTAGTTCACCACTTCTGGCGATTATTCAACGATGTCAGTCAGATCTTAAATCAAAATATGAAAATGATTTTCAAACAAGTTTAAGAGATTATACAAAATGGTATTTTTATTTTTATTGAATAAATGAAGATTAGATCTTGTCAATCACAGTTTAGACAGTCTCTTTTTTTGGACATCCGTTCGAACCATTAATAACTCTTTATTCTTTTCTAGTTTCACTTCATTGATAATTGTTATTCAACAAATGCTTGAATATGATAATAATAATCGTTTACCGGATACAAAAGTAAGTTAATTCATAGTAAAACAAAAGGCAATTTGTATAATTTAGTTACGTGATCATGATATGGTAAAAGAAAGTTTCGCATCTGTCAGTAGCGCCATTGATACCATTCGTCAACAATGTGGACAATACATCGTTAGTGATGTTGATTTACGTGATCGTTTACATAATGAAGGAAAATTATTACTTGTCGATGTTTAAAAGATATTATGAGAAATTTGCTCATAAAGATTTTACACGAAATCGAGAAAAATATACCCGATATGAACCTCGAACATTAGAATTGATTACTGAGAGCTTTTTCGAACATCATTTATAAATTTTCAATTGTTTTAGTTTCGCAAAGTAATTTATTAGTAATTAAATAAATATTCAAAAATTTATTCTCTATAAAAACAAGATATTGAGGAAGGATTGTTTGTTTGAATGAACAACAACAATATCGGAAATATTGGTTGTGGAATCTAAACTTTCATCGACCATTATTCAACAGATTAATATCGCTTTTTGAATATTCTTTGAGCCCTCAGGCAACTTGTATTTTTCACAGATCTCACGTTTAGATGAAAAATAAAAACCTCGTCCATATTTGTCATCTCCTGATTTCCTGATGAAATCGATGAAATTTCGATAAAATTGCCGTGTATTTGATTGCTGTCTCGATCAAATCCATGTAGAAGGATCATTTTTTATATTCGAAGATATGAGAATTTGTGAAGTGAGTATTCAATTTTCTAATGGAATACTCAAAAATATTAAATATGAAGGTGAAAACTTTTGTATCCGGTAAACGATTATTATTATCATATTCAAGCATTTGTTGAATAACAATTATCAATGAAGTGAAACTAGAAAAGAATAAAGAGTTATTAATGGTTCGAACGGATGTCCAAAAAAAAGAGACTGTCTAAACTGTGATTGACAAGATCTAATCTTCATTTATTCAAT